AAATATGGTTTGTTCATAATATAAGCACTGTGAGATGTTTCAATTGATTAGTATTTGAAGTTGTACTACTGAGCTATAGTTACAAAAACAGCAGAAATGGCAGAAAAAGAGAGACTGTGATGAATGGCATGGAATTGAACACTCAGACATAAATCCACACACCTCTGAACTCCTAAAAGCTGCCCAAAACACATAGGGATGCACAGTAGGTCTAGATTAAGTGCTGCATATTTCCAGTTCCCCTAGAGTCCCTTTCACATGCCCTTTCTCTTTAAAGTGATGAGCTCTATACATCAGGAGACACAGGGTGGTGATCTGAGGTGTGGCCTGGGACAGCAGAAGTAGGAGCTCTGCAGGAAGTCCAGATGGCAGTGTGCCCACTTCCCCAGCATAGAGGGTCTCTGTCCAGCACAGGAGGAGGTAAGCCAACTACCACAGGATTCTCTCCAGGAAACCTTCCTTTTTAAGGAAATATGGTCCAGGGCTGGTGTTTCACAGCATCCTTGTCTGAGGGGGACATGAGCCAGTACCAGGTACAAGCTACCCATGAATGTGCACACCCTGTGGACCAGTCTGCAGGGGAATAACTAGCACTACTCATTAATCTGTCTACCCTTAGGGTGTGTGGTCCTAATGAAATGTTTCCCCACATGAAGGAAAGGGAGCTCCTTCCTCTCCTTTCTCTCCCTCCTTACCTGATGTTGTATTTGCAGCCTTCAAGTGTCCCTGTGTCCAGACCATCAGAAAAGACACAGTTCCACTGCATGCTGGTCTAGTTTATGTGTTTGTGAAGGGGCCTCACTGCAGGGAGTTTTTATCAGAACCATATTTGTCTCCTAACAGGAAAGTGACAGCAAGCTGGAGGAAAATTGGTACCACATCGGATGGAATGCAGAGAATTTGCTCCACTTTTGAAGTGAGTGGGCCTTACCTAGCCTAGGACACAGTGGTCAGAGGTTGGGTCAGCACTTTTAAAACTTTGTACCCAGGTACCACTGGGTACAGTGGTCAAGCCTTGCCAGCCTTGTCGACCTTACAGCTATGTCTTGGCGATAGGCTTTCTCCTTGCTTGTCCTGGTGGGATAATTGTCTAAAGGGTTGTCAGGTGCACATGACAGGCAGACAACGTCTACGTCTCCATGCAGTGAAGGATGCCACTCTGATGGGGATGAATGTCAAGGCTCATCTATGTGGAACACATGGTCGAAAGCATCACTGACATCACTACATAACAGTCTGTAGTAGATGTTTAGTTTTTGGTTTCTGGTCGAAACTTGTTCTGGCGTAGAGGTTAGGAAGAATCAGGATGCCCAGGCAGGTCTGCCTCAATCCCAAGGGTAGGTAGTCATTGAGCTTGTGTTACAGAGGACCATAGAGAGAGAGAGAAAGTCATAGGTGAGGCATGGCTACAGAGGGATATTGAGAAAACTTGGTGTGGTGGCAATCTTCCCTCTCTGTTCCTAAAAAAATGAGGAGAAACAGTTTGAATCAAAGATGGTGAACATCTTTGAATTGAGACAGGGTTTACTATTGTAGCATTTCAAGATGAGTTTAATGTGAACTTTTTATATCAGTGGCCACTGCAGGGAGGAAATGGTATCTTCTAGATGGTTATGTGAGAGAAGTCATCTTATGATGAGGTTCAAACACTTAATACTCTCCTTGCCCCACTTACTTCCTCCTGGAGGCAGCAGGATTAGTTGCAGAGAATACATGCTATTTGTACCAATATCTTTCCACACACTGCCCCAAAGTTCCTCAGTGATGCTCACCTCCCAGTTGAGAAAAGTGAGTCCTAGTGATGCTGGGTAGGTTGCTGATTTGCACAGAGCCTGACTGGTTGGAAGGGTTTAGATTCCTCTCAGAACACTTACACAGATAGGATGGCCAGGGTGGTGACTGCCTGGGTCTCTGTAGTCTCAGAGGTCAACTCCAGAACTCTCATTGACCAACCTTTTCTCCTCAGTTCTGCAGGTTCTGGTGGATATGTTCAGACAGACCTCATCTTCACCATATGTGCATCATGTGTCATCTAGGAAAGTGTTCAGTGAGCTGGGTGTAGGAAGCACAGCGCCTAGACACAGACATGTTGGTGGAACCGCTTTTCCTTCTTGATCCTAGGGCCTGTTTATGGGACAGTAGCAGAGCAGCTAGATCAAACCAGTCCCTGAAATCAAGGCTTTCCAAGGAGACCCCACTGAGTTTTCCCTCAGGAAGGTCACATAGGATGAAAAGGGACATTACTGTTGCCTCATTATGTCCTGAACTCCACCAGAAATAAACCAGCTATTTTCTGAGAGGCCACAGGTCTAGGGTGGGGAAGGAGTTTTCTGCCAGCCTCATCTTTGATCTAACAGAAGCATTTTCTCATAGGTGCCTGGCCATATCCCTAGTCTTGGATCCCAAGAATTCCTGACCTGAGTATGTGCACACTTACCATGAGTGACATGGAGGGAAAAGAGCACCTCTCACCTCTCCTACTTTGCAGACTAGCATGGCATTGTCGGAGCTCCAGAGGAACTCAGAGATTCCACACAGCAACAGAAGGCCATGCTGTGGAGGACAATGACATGGTTTCTCTTCTACCATCCAACTACAGACAAGGACTCCAAGTTAACAACAAGAACTGTAGAATCTACAGGAGTGTTCCTTGTGAAAGCCTCCCAGTGGCTACTTACTGTTGAAGCCTTGCCCAACTTAGACCCCTTTGCATTTTGACAGTTTGGAAATTCACATATGCCTCTGTGTCTTTGCAGATAATCCAGAACACCTGCCTGACCATGTAAAGAAATATCTCAGAGGAACCTTGGGAATTAAATGTGCTTCCTTTCCTGAACTGTTGAGTGGATACGTGAGAAGGGCAGTATCCATGGACCACCTGTCCCAGCCCTCCACTAACATGAAGAAGGAGAACTTGAGGTCATACTCTCGGCCCATCTTTCACTGGTATTAGACAGAGACAATTTTCAAACAAATACTGACGCACTTAATTAGAATAACAACATAATTTCTATAAATTGGCATTCAGAATGTTTGACCCCTGGAACAGGGAAATCTGAAGCTATATGAGCTCTCAGGTTCTACCAGCTGTTATTCTAAAGGTAACAGATGTTTGCACTTCATCTATACACTCAGCAAAATCCAGTCTGATGCTCAAACACAAGATGTAAAAACCAACTGGACCTAAACCTAGAAGAGAGGCCAGAGGACAGGACAGATTCCTGCAGACCATCATCTTCTTCTTCAGGACTTCCCACCAAGTCTGAAAGATCCACAAATGCTACAGGGAAGTAATGGAGACAGGACACATGGAACAGAACAGAAAGTTAAGTAACAGACCCAGTGAAATCCTGCCAGCTGATGTTCTCATAGTCAACCAGGGAAATCAAGGCAGAGAGAGTGGCTTGTCCACAAATGACTGCAGAAGAATATTTAAAAACAAGAATAAGGAACCCCTTCTAAAAGCAAGAAACATGGGCTGGAGAGATGGCTCATCCTTTAAAGGCCAGGTTCACAACCAAAAATAAAAACAAGAAACATGAACACAGTCACCATTTCAATTGACGCCAAATGCAAACACTATAATGTTCACATAAACTTATAGAAGAGGACTATAAGTTCCTGCCTTATAGGAAGGAGGAAGAATAACACAGATGAAGTGCGGACTCAGGAGCCCTGCTGCCAACAGCCATGAATATGCAGAGGCAGGAGCATGGCTGGAGAAGGACACTCCCCAGGACCTCTAGAGAGAGCTTGGCCCCTGACACACCCCAGAGGACAGCAAATCTCTGCCAGTGAATGCTCTGTGTCCGTGAGGAGGTGGAGGCATTGTGTGTGCTGTGTGGTGGACTTGTGCTGAAATCTATGCCATTGTGTGGGATGGAGATGAGCTGTCCAGTGGATCTGATAACAGCACTGTATGGATGGTACAGTCAGCTGGGGAAAGGAGCAGTGCTGACACCTAGATACTCACATGTGCTACCCATGCCCCTCACCTTGTTAACAACTTATATACAGGGTCAGTGTAAGGACATGAATGACACCC